AACAACTTATTTGAATAAAATATTTTTATTCAAATAAGTTGTTCGATATTTTGTTCATCCATCCCTATTGCTTATATCTGCTTATCTTTAAGTGCTACCAACTTCAGCTTCTCATATTCTGTCGAGCAGGTTAAAAATAAGAATCATAATAGTTTTTTTTTTTTTTGTTGTTGGTTTGTTATTTGGGCCTCGGGTCCTTTTAACTTTTTTTGCACAAGAGACAGAAACTTTAGACACCACTATCCCAGGATATTTTAATACCCTAAACCTAATTTCCATACGAGAGAATCTGAAAAATAAATGACTGCGTTCAATATGCTGCAACTATGTAACAAGCTGCCGCAGTTCAGTATAATATGGTGGCTATTATAGCTTAAGTAATTGTGGAGAAGAAAGCGCTTTCCAGCTTCATCACCTGTCCTTACGCGACGCTGTCGCATCAGCGCGTGCCGGTCACGTGATCATCAACTGAAAGCGGCAGCAGGAGGGCGAGGAGCGGAGGAAACCGACAAGTGCCGGTCGGAGGAACAGATAAACGGACCGTGTGTCTGCCTGCTACCGGAGGACATCCATTCCCTGCAGGTACGAAGATTTACGCGCTCCGTCTTCACTGTACGCTCCTCAACAGGTTCAGAAAATAAAAGAAAACGCTGATTCCCGTCTTTGACGTCACTGAAGGGTTTCCGACTTGTCATTTAAAAGCAGCATTTAAAGTTTCGAGCCGTGAATTTAAACCAAACCGACAAAAACAGGTTAACTTATGTTTTATGTAAAAGACACGCTCGTTACGTCTTAGTTATTACTTTGTGTTGACTTCTCGTAAAACTCGCGTTAGATTACGAAAAACCTCTCTGGAGATAAGCATCCTAGCGTTTTATGTTTAATTGAAAGATGTCCACTCACATTACTGGTAGATTGTGTTGTTGGCACGTAAATAGGATCATGATAAACATAAACAACATTTATTCCCCTTCTATGCTGGCTGATGCAGGCTATTTCCCAGAAACCAGATGACACAGGAAAGCACAATATTGCTGAATGAGCTGATTAATTTGTTACTTTCAAATTACCCAACTACCTCCGGAAAAAAACACCACTGTATATACACACACACACACACACACGCACACA